AATCAACCCACGTTAACAAACCAATAAACACAATCAAGCATCAATATTCAGAATCAAAGATTGCACCTAAAATTTAATCCTCCTTCAAATTCGAATAAGAATAGAACAAACGATTCATGTTTTCGTCAAAATCAACACCAAAAAGTCCATTAAAAACCAAGAGATCAACCCAGGAACAATCATGAATCAACCAAATAAAGAAACCCCATTTTAGATTGTTCTAAAAAAGAAACAAACTTAAAACACATAATTGGTTGCATGGACTGAAGATATGATAAATACCCAAATTAGATAATCCCAAAAACAAACAAATAAAGCATCTGAAACTGATGAAAAAGAAAAGAAAAGAAAAAACTTACCTTGATGGAAATTGAGCAGAGACTAAAACCCAGAGAACATTTGTTGTTTCTTTTTTAGAGGAAAAAAAAGGGAAATTAAGAGAGGGGCAGGGAACTCCGAATTCTGGGAAGCTTGAAGCTCAAAAAATAAAAATAAAAAAATGGTTCAGAGTTTCGTGTTTGGGTGTTTTGTTCGGCGAGAAAAGCTGTGAAAGCGCGGAAATAAAGCAATGGAGCCTTTCTTCTCTTTCCCTTTTGTCTGCTTCTCAATTACTTTGTTTTATCAGTTTATTCAATAAATAAAAAACTTTGTTTTATAAACATATTATCTCTCTCTTTTGTGAAATCCAATGTCTTATTAAATTTTGTTTTATTTTCTGAAGAAGTCGTAAAATGGCAACCTTTTTTTTAAGTAAAAATAATGTTTTTATTGTTAAAACCTTAGACACAAATGGAACAAGCATGTCTTTTTAATTGTATTTACGTGTGTCGTGTCATATTTATCTTATCATTTTCAGGGTTGGTGAAATTTAATTAAAATCCTAAGACTACTTTAGTATACCAAAGAAAAAAAAAGTCTTTTACTTGATTGATTTATTCGTCAATCTTTTTAATGACAATTTTTAGTATACCAAATGGAACAAGTTTTTTTCTTTTCATTACAATAAAAGCCTTCTATTGGCTATCTTGTAAAAACATACCTCATCTCGTTAATTAATGGATTAATGAAATTTCAAAACCCGAGTTGGAGATAATTTTGTAAAAATAAAGCCTACATACCTCCTATCCTTCCCTCTGTGTCCCAATATTTCAATCAATTGTATTTCAATGAAAAAATTGGGAATGAGGTTAAGAATTTGTGTATTAAGTTTAGAAATTTATGATTAGGGTGGTACGATGATAAGAGGGATAGTTAACAGTGCAGTTTCGGCCCATTCGATGATGAAAAAAATAACCGATAATGACGGGAGACCGTTGATAATGAGATTAGAATAAAAGATTTTTATGTTTTTAATAATTTTAAAATTTTGTTTTTTAATTAGTAATATTCTTAAATACATTTAAAAAATAAAAATTTACAAAAGTATATATAAACATGACATGTGTCATTTAACGATTTTCTTTAACGGACATTAAAGTATAAATACTAAAAATTGTAACAAAGAAGACATTATGCACCTACTTTGAGCTAAAAAATCTTTAAGCATCTAATATTAACAAACGTTATAATTTGATCACTTATTTTTTCATTAAGTCATATTTATTTATAAAGTTTATATCTACCTTAACTTTATAGAATCTATTTAATATAAATTGGCATGATAGGTCTAATTTCTATTTATTTTTTTAAGATCAAGTTTTTTTCCGTCTATCATGTTATATTCATTAAAATAATTTTTTTAGTTGTAAAACTATCTTTTATATTTTTAAGTAGGGTATTCTATTTCAAATATCGTTCACATTTAAATTTGAGCTCATTATGGCACTAACGTTTATATCTAATTACAATTTTATGTCATATCGCCGTTAATTCATCAACGAAACGATGACATGATATATTCGTTTCGTGACAATGATGACGTGACTCCCTTACTAAAACGACGTCGTTTTGTTGATGAAAATTTTATTTTTAATGAGATTCGAACCATAAACCAATAAAACCAAAGTTGAACACGCAACCACAAAGCTAATTTAAGAAATTAAAACCTTAAACCATTCATTAAACTCATGGTTTTTAATCATCTTCCCATCTCTTATTCCTAATGCTTTCGAGCCGGTTGAAGGCCTAGTTCCAATTTCCTTCCATGCGGTTGCCTCTGCTTTTGCTTCCCTGATCTGTTCTCTACGGTTAGAGTTTTCGTTCCTCCATTTTACAGTAGAGCGACTTTCGTTCCTGCGTGAGAGCCAGGAGCATTCTAAGCAAGCGGGTTTAAAACACTTTCTCAAGCAGGATAACTGTTTGATTTCCTAAGGCAGTAGGAAATCTCTCCTAGGTTCTAAGGTTCTCATGATTCTAGAGAAAGACTTAGCCTAAAGTTCTTCTCTCACCTTTTTATAAATAAAAAAAAATCTCAATCTTTAAATCTTTAGTTAATCATTATTTCCCTCCTTTCCCGGATCCTTCATCTTCCTTACAATTGGGTTCTTTTTTTTGTTGTTATTTTTTTTTTGTAAAACTTCCATTTTTTTAACAATGACGTTGGAATGAATTGAGAAAACTTAAGGATGAGATTTAATCTGACTAGAAATTCAAATTTTTTAAGGTTTTTGTAAGGAAGATGATGAAGACTATTAGTCTGTGTTTATAAAAAAATAAAAAAAATAAATTGTTATTTAACGTTTATATTGGTTTTGTTAAAGTTGTAACATTAGTTTGGAGGTTGGATGTTTGGCTTTAGTTCCTAAAGGTTTATTGGTCAAATCTCATAGAAAGTAATTTTTTCCATTAACAAGACTACATCATTTTAAGCTTTTTATGCATTAAAACGGCCGTGTCACGTCATCGTTGTCACATAATGAATATATTATGTCATCTTCTCGTTAATGGATTAATGGTGAGGAGAAATAATTACAGTTAAACATAAACAACAGTGTTAAGATTAGGGATGGCAACGGGCCGGGTTCGGGCCGGGTATTGGTCTCCAGTCCCCGTTTAAAAAATTCGTACCCATCTCCGCTTAAAAAACCACGGAGATTTAAACGGGGATCTCCATCGGGTAATCGAGAAAAACCACAGGAAAATGGGTATCCCCGTTTAGCATAAACGGTTATTTAAACAGGTATCGGACCGAGTATATATATATTTAAATTAAATATATAAATATTATATATTAATTTAAATTAAATTTATTAATATTATATATATAAATAATAATAATTTTTTTAATATTTATCGGGTCGGGTATCGGGCCCGATAATCCGGTAATCGGGGCGGGGATTACCAAACCCGTCCCCATTTAGCATAAACAGTTTTTTCCCATCCCGTTTAATTTGATTTTCGATTTTCGATTTTCCCCGTCGGGTTTGAGTTTTTTTGCCATCATTAGTTAAGATTGTTAAAAGTAAAACATTGGTGATATAAACAAGCCCGAACTTAAAGGTGAGTGGTATTTGAAGTAGTTTACCTTTTTAATTATATAATTTTATGATAATTTATAAATAAATTTTAATTTCATAACTTTTAAATTTTATTGTTAATAAGACTTTTTTGGTGACAAATGAGAAACTGAAAACCGAGAACTTAAGCTAAACTGCATTGTTATCCTCATGCAATAGTTGCACCACCGAAAGAGAAGGCTCTGCATACCATACGCATTCCACTTGACTCCGATCAACAAGCTTTGCCATGCAGTCTGCAACCCTATTTCCCTCTCGATTAACATGGTTAAATCTTAGATCCCAATCCGGTCGAAGTTACTCCCTCACGTGATGAAGAATGGTGATACGAGCCCGATCATCACCCAGTAGTTCCTGAATAACTTCTCGGTTATCACTCTCAACCAGAACATTACGTCCACCCGAGTCCCATGCACGCACCAATTCCAAATATATTCCCCAAATCTCTACCTCTAGCACCGAACAAATGCCAAGTAACTTGGAAAATCCAACCTCCCAACTGCCTTTATCTTTCTGGATCGGAGGGCTCCCAATTACCGTCATCTTTCTGGATCACCCTTCCGCACACTGCAAGTCCAGTGGCTGTCTGTTTGGCGCCATCTGAATTCATCTTGATCCATCCCGTTGATGGTGGTTGCCATCGATTGAGTCTTGGTTTTACGTTCTCGACTTTATAATATTTATTTAATTCAATTTTATAAAAAAAAAAAATCAATGAAATAGAATTATATATACGTTTCAGATAAATGCAAAATAGAATTAAAAATACATTTCAGATAAATGCAAAATGAACTTTATGCAGAATGGACGAATTCAAATTTTATATAAATAAAAGTCAAATTAAATTCTAAGTTTAAAAATAATGGAAATATATATATTTTAAATTTTAGTAATTTAATTTTTATTTTTAGCATTTTTTATATTTATTTTTTTAATATTCTTATAATTTAGATTTAAAACATTTAAAAAATTCAAATAAAACCATTAAATTTTTAAAAAAAATCAATTGAACCCTCGAACTTGACCAAAAATCAATTTAACCCATCTATTATGTCACCTACTACCGTGAACTGTCGTATCAGTATCATAATGATCAACGACAAAAATGGTTAGTCAAAAGGTCATATTGAGTGCAAAAATAGCTTAAGGACCGCATTAATTCTTCTAAAAATACAAAGGCTTCATATACCTTTTTGCCTAGATTTTTTTTGTATTAGTAACCTCACATCATGCAAATCTTATGACAACATACATCTAAATAAGACCTCAAATCCAACGGTTGTCATGCCAATCTTATGACTCACCATGGATCTAAAGATATCATATATCCTCCACAGATCAAACAGATTAATTAAAATCCGATCATTCAGTTGGTTCGATCGGTTTTGAATCCAAACCACGGATTCTATTTTCCAGCTCAAGCAAACAGATATTTGTTTGAACTCAAAAACAAACCAGTAAGACGATTTTAAAGACACAGTTCCAAAACACTTGGTAATGAACAAACGAAGGTCATTTTGAAGGTGCAAAAGACAAGAAATGTTGTCAAAAACTTTAACATGTGGGAAATGGAAGATACTACAATAATATTATAGTAACAGTAACAAAGCAGCTTCTCATATATGCATGGAAGCTTATGTCCCAAACAAGTTTTAAGTAAAGAATATATGACAGTTATCACCCTAGGAGAATTTATGCGACTAGGAAAACCAAGCTGTGCATAAACATTTACATTTAGTCTTAAGACCTAATAATATGAGGACCATGGCATGGCAAAAATGAGCACCCTAATCGACTGAAAAAGGAACCAAATGAAGAAAATGGGAAAAAAATAGATCAAGAATCATACACTAGCTTTTCCCAGTTCTACGCCTCTTATAAGCCTGATCAAACTCCTCTGAGCAGCTCCGAACTCCAGTTTGTATCATCACTTGATTGCTTATGTATCGGATTTCTTTCTCCTAGATGACAGGTGAAAAAGAAAAAGACAGGTTAGAATATCAAGCAAATAGTTTTACTGACTCATGTCCAAACCGTCACTAAACTGGGAGGGGAATAAATGAAGACGGCAAAACACAAAAACAACTTAGCTAGTACTTAATCTGGCCAAAAAGGATTATAAATAAACCTCAGAACTGGATGGCATAGAAGTCACTCTGCTAACTACTCGTTTACCAACATCAATTTTCACAGATATGCTCGCCTGAGACATCTCCACTCCTGAAGACTGCAGAGCTTGTGTCAGAGAATTCAATATCCTGTTGGAAACAAAAACTGATCTCTTTAACAGCATGTATAAAACCTACCATGAAAGGGCATGTTATAATTGATATCAGTAAACAGATAACACCATTAACCAAAATCTGAGAAATAAATCATGAAAATGTCAACTCCTTGTACATTATGTCAGGATCGTAAGTTATACAGAGCAGTTGCTCACCCTTGAGAGTAAGCGCTTGACAAGCCAACTGATTCATCTCTGATAGTCAAGTCCTCTTGTTCAATTGCTGAATTGTTCGGAATAACACTCTCGGTCAGACAGTCTCTACTTTGCCATGACTGAAAATGGGGTTGATGTATCATGTTCTCGGAATCAGAAGCAGACTCATGAAAAGCAATGCTACCTCTTCCATGAGTAGCAATTGCATCTGACCGTGTCTGCATGTTAACCATAGAAGTAGCTGATGCAGGGGGATGATCAAGTGCTTTAAACACTGCAGCATCACCCAAGTTGGACTCAATTGAATTCTGCATATTCGCAACCATTGACGGAATGATGCCATCATTCTCACAAGTAGATCCATTCTTCATAGTGTGAGAATGGTCAATAAAATTCTCTGCAAACCCATGCTGATTTTTCTGTTAAAAAAATAAAACAAAATCAGTTAGCTTCATCTTGAATTATGGAAAGTAATGTGAACAAAATTATTATTTACAGAAGGCTCCAGTAGTAACTCATTAGCCTAAAAGTTCAAAGCAAAGAGAAAAAGTGTCCACCCTATTGCTCAAAACATAAGATACATTCATCTATTGTCAATTGAAAGCTACTATTTGGTTGTGCATGCCAATAATTATCTCCAAAACAAATTCAACATATGCACTGGAACTTCAACACCCATCCTTAAGCTTTTCAAATCTTCAATAGGTAAGCCTCTCAAACATTAATATAAAACAAAAATATAACTATATGTTTGTGCAAAGTAACCACATTGACTAATTGACATGGGTGTACAAAGGCGCAAATATGAAGCATAAATAAGATTACCCATGGAATCATTTTTGCTGGCTCCTGGCTCCACCCATGGTACGATCCCTCATACATTTGCAACTTTTCCTGTAAAAACTGAATGTACTCTATGACCTACACATAAAGTAGGTCGTATTCAAAATCCATCAAGGAACTATAAATGATTAAATATATGCATGTACATACATATCTAATGTATGTGTATAGCATATTAAAGGAAAAACGCCATTGAGTGGTGACCTCTAACAGAAAAGATGCCTTGTCTCTCTTTTGATCATTTTGAGGTATAATATCTCTCAAAGTCTGGAACCTGACAACACAAAAATAATCAAAGAATGCTTGAAATATATTCAAAGAATTGAAACTGATTACTGCCACACTGTATCATCAAAATATAACATAACTGAATTCAAGGAAGCTTTCAGAATCCATTTTCAGATGCACCAAACAGCACCCCCCCCCCCCAAGAAAAAGGCTTATTGTGCAAACTTTAGTTAACAAAAGAATCACTAGATGACTTCACGTATGTTAAAGCAATATAACATAAAACAAAATGGAATAATATGAGCAAACCATATGAGACAATAACACTCAACTCAACTGTTTGATATTTCGTGAAAAACCATTACAACCAAAGCCCTCTAATTTAAGTACTTCTAAAAAATTATCGCATTCATAGCCAATACATCTGAACATTTTCAATTCTGGAAATTTAATTTATACTTAAATACAAAATTAAACCCCAAAGGAAAAAAGAAGGAAATTTGAATTTTATACCTTTCATTAATCTTACTTCTTCTACGCTGCTCTGTCTCAGAATGCTTAGACCGATTAGTGCTCGTCTTTTGCTCACTTCCTTTCTCTTCTACTTTCACTGTTTCCCCTATAAAGAAGAACATTTTTAATTAAAACATAATAATAATTACCGAAATTCTTATAAAAGGAAAACACCTCTATCTTCGAAACCATCATCGTCTTCCTCGTCTTGATGAAACTGCGCCGTTGCCACGGATTTCACCATTTCGCTTTTTGATTTTATAAATATAAAAAAATTGTAAAAACTCTAACAAAGCGGAGGAGCAGAGGGTCGGAAATGGAGGTCCGAAAGAGTAGTTCGAACGAGTATGGCGAGTCAGTTTTTGCAGAGAAAGAGATAATTTTTGCCCTAAAAAAGGACGGAAAAGAAGAATATGGTAAAATTTTGGAATTTATGGCTTTATTGATTGATACATTTTCATTTAAAAATTATTGGTTCGATTTATACAAATTAATATTGGCGTTCAGTAGTGGTGGGTGGCTGCTGCTAATATACGCGTGCATTGTGACGTTTAAGGACACTTTATCTTTGTTTATAGGAGATTCTCTTTCATACTTGGGTAAGTTTTTCTAACGTTTAGAAGAAAAGTATTTAAAGTATGATCATTCCTTGTTTTAAATCTCTTGATAATTTGAAACGTGCATCCCCATTACCTTGGTTATTGGAGTCCGATCTTAACGAAATCTTATTTGATGATGAGAAAGAAGGCGGTCGACGTAAATCGAGAGAGTTTCACTAGTTGATTTTCAAGATACACTAAGTCGTAATAGATTATCATATATTAAGCCTTCAAAGGGTTGGTTCGCTTGGTTCTGTGGTAAACAAAAAGATCATGCTATAGTTGATGGACTAGATAGATTTATTATCGTGAAACAATGGTTGCGGTTATATCCTCAATTTCGTGCAACATCGGAGCATCCGAATACTCTTACCATTGTTATCGAATGATGGATACGAATTGAACCAATATAACTGGCCATATGAAACAAGGTGATTATTTAAAATTTGATCATTGTTGAGCAGCTAAAGAAGCTTGTGTTTCAAGAGTGCAATCAGCTTTGAAATTTACACACGGTGATGCGATTGCGAAGATTGATGCAGTTGGAGCGACCTTACGTGCATGGCAAACAGATAATACACGGGTGCGCATTGCATAACTTCAAAAGTTGGCAAATGTTGGTTTGAGCAATCGAATGACCGTTGGTGCCATGGCCAATTTTCTTAAAGCCAATTCCGAATTACAATGTTTGTTGGATAAGGAAGAACGGTACTGGGCACAAAGATCTTGTGTGAATTGGTTAGCTAATGGAGATCAGAACAGTCTTTTTCTATGCTCGAGCGAATCAGCATAGGAAAAAGAACAGGATTAATGGTGAAGATACTAAATTTTTTTTTATCCATATTATTATTATTAATATTATTATTATCCTTATTATTATTAATATTATTATTATATTATTATTATTATTATTATCATTATTATTATTATTATTAAATATATTAAAAAATAATAATTACAGGCCCAATTACAATTGGACCGGCCCAATTACAATTGGACCGGCCCAGTTACAAACCAACCAGAACCGGTCCAAATCCAACCAGAAACCCTAAATATTTGGGTTTCCAGTTAGGGTTTCCTAACCCTAATTTGATCAGCCGCCTCAGCTCACAGCCGTTGGATCTGATAAGATCCAACGGTCCAGATGGTGCCAGAAGGAAACCCTAGGGTTTGATACCCTAGGGCCACGCGGCGCCGCTCCAGCTTCCACGCGGCTACCGACAGCCCTCGCCGCCTCCGCCGCTGCCACGTCCCAACCGAAGACTCCAGAAGATCATATACCAGCCGTCCATGCAAGGCTACGGGGTGAGTCACCACTGGTAGTCCGGTGACTCACCGAGGCCCCCTCTTCGGACCGGTCTGAGACGAACACCGGTGGTGGCTATAAAAGCCACCACCCCATCTGCGAAGAAAAGAAGAGAGGACAGAAACTAAAAACAGAGAACGGAGAAGAAAAAGACAGAGAAAAGAAAAAAAAACAAACTAATACCAACGATCTCAGCAGCAAAGAACCAGAAGAAAAAAAAGAGAAAAAAAGGAAGAAGAGACTTACCGAGGAAGCGTCGACCACCGGATCTCGTCAGAACCTTCGAAACATCGAAGGTATTTTTATAAGATTTGCTCCGATTAGGAGCCTTTTAAAGGAAGAGAACACCGGGACCGTCCTTAGGACGGTCCGATCTATCTATTCGTATAAAAATTTTTTTCCGGCCACCGGATGCTGTGGCCGGCGGTGATATTCACGGCGGCCCACGGTGGCCGACCGGTAACCGGCTTCCCTCTGATGAGGGAAGCTAGAGAGAAGGCAGAGAGTTTAAAACTCTCTCAGTGAAGAGAGAGAGAAGAAAATGGAAAATGAAGGTTGGCCCTTCGGGCCAGCCGGTTTTGGACTCTTATAGTCCTTCCCGAACGACGTCGTTTCGGGAAGGACTATGCGCGTAATTATGAAATAGTTAAACCCCGTCCGCAGTCCTTCGTATTTGTAAATTTTACATTTTGGTCACTAAACTGAATTTATAATAATTTTAATTCAGTCTTTAAATTTTAATTTTATTCATTTTAGTCCTTTTTATTAAAATAATATTTAGGATAAATGACAGATTTAATCCCTTAATTTTAATAAATAATTTTTAATCCCTAGTTCATATTTTTAATTTATTTTATTATAAAATTCGAATTTTAAATAATTTTATTTTGGTCACTAAATTATTAAATTAGAAAATAAAATATTTAATCCCTATAATTTCAATTAATTAGGAATTGGATTTAGTTTATTTTATTATAATTTAGTTATTTATTTTATATGTTTTCATTTTACTGCTTAAAATATATTGTTTTAGTGATATTTTTATTTTTATTATATTGTTAAATATTTTTATATATTCATAAATATACATATAATAAATAGTAATTTTTAAAAAAAAATTATTTTTAATATCGAAGAAAAGGATAGTCTTAATACAACTGGATGTCCTATTCTGATATTTTAAAATTAAAAAGTAAACAATATTATTTAAATTAATATTTATCAATATCAAAGAAAAGAGCTGTCTTAAGGCACCTAGAAGTTCTTTTCAGATATTTTTAAATAAATAAATTTTTTATATAATTTTGAAATAATAGAATTATAAATTAAATATATTTTTGAATTTTAAAAATTTTAATAATAGAGACAATTTATAAATAAAAAAAGTATCAATTTTGGGCGTTGTAGGGGTGCTAATCCTTCCCTAAACGTAAAAGACCACGAACCCCTTTTATTATTAAAAAAAATGAATTTTTGGTTATAAATGCAGATCAGTTTATTTTTTAATTGGTGTTTTATTAAAACTCTTTTAAAAAATAATTTTTAGGTATTCGACCTACCTGATCCAAAAGGCCGATGGCGACTCTCAAATTATTTTCAAAACTATTTATTCACATCAATTTTCCCGCCAAAATAATATTTCGTGCCCGGACGAAAACCGGTTACGACAGCTTGGCGACTCCGCTGGGGACCGGTCAAACTTTTAAAAATTTAATTATAAATTGTCTCTATTAGTTAAAAATTAAAAATTTATATATTTAATTTTAATTCTTTCTTTTCATTCTTTTTATTTATTTATTATTTTTATAATATTTATATGTTTTATTTTATTTGCAAGCATTTTATTTCAGTATTTATTTTTCTGTCAAAGGTTTGAACATTTCTCCTCACACACAACACTTGCATTGCATTACATAAAGCTCTATAATTGAGTTGTCCCTTTTAAGTGGAAGTGAAAGCGACGTCTTCGTGAGAATTTATTCTCCGTGTCAGACCTAGCAAGTAACTTTCGGGGTTCATATGCTCTATGTCTTCGTGAGAATTTATTCTCCGTGTCAGGCATAGAGAAATGTATCCCCTCGAATTGAACTCGATCCACTTTAGTCTGTGATGGACTAGGATTGAGGGTTAGCAGCCTAAGGGGGCACTAACAAGGACAATTCGGGTACCTTGATTCTTAGATCTGAAACCCTGCATATAAAAAAACCTTAGAAACTCTTCCAATCCGAAGTCATGCCAAAATTTTGTCCAAAATAGGTGTACACACAGGAGAAATGAATTATGTCTTTTCTGTTAATTTATTTATTGTTTAAGTTACATGTTTATTTAAATTTTTTAAATTCAGAAAAGCATGTTTAAATAAAGAATATTTATGTAAATATTATTATTAAATTTCTTTATTATGTAAACTAATTGATTTTCTTTTTTGTGTGTTCTTTATTTTTCTGTTTGCATTGCATCATACAGGATAAAAGACATTGATCATTGTGTTAATTGTCTCATTGGAAAGCCTACATCTATGGATAAAAAGTGTTCAAGTCAAGTAATTCTAAACTCAGAAGTAAGACAGTGGGCTGAAGATTTACAAAGACAAGAAGGAGATAGTCTGCAGGATGATTATGTATCTGATTTGGCCAGTTATGCTTCAGTTTCACTAAAAAGAAATGATATGCAAGATTTGCGAAGCATTTGGGAAAGTTGGGATTCAAACAAAAAATTGCAGTTTTATCATACTTACGGAGACATCCCATATTTGCTCTATGTTGAAGTTGATGATGAATTACTCAGAGCCCTAGTTCAATTCTGGAATCCAGGGTACAATTGCTTCACTTTCAATAAGGAGGACTTGGTCCCTACTATTGAAGAATATACAACTTTGTTACATCTTGAAAGTGCTTTGGAGAATCGAATATATTCAAAGTCAATTAAAACTCAGCCCTTTCGAGTTAAATTAGCAAAGATTGCTGGGGTACGAGAAGAATGGGTAGCATCCCGTACAAAACAAAAAGGCGAAAGCGAAGGCATTGCTTGGACCAACATCAGAGAGCTTATTCAGAGTCATCCAGACGCTAAAGTACGATTCGATCTATTTGCTCTGGGTATATATATGGTATGGTCATATTCCCAAAAGTATTGGGATATATTGAAGCTGCAGTGGTAGACTTGTTTGAACAGCTACCGAAGAAGATTAATCCTGTTTCTGCCATCCTAGCAGAGACCTTCAGATCGTTAAATGCTTGCAGAAGGTTAGGAGGTGGACGATTATCAGGGTGTACCCAGTTGCTATATGTTTGGATCCGTAGTCATTTCTGGAGGACGGAAAAGGTTTCATACCGACGCTTCAATACGGATTACTCACCATTAAAAGAATTTCTAGAGCAGGAATGGCCTAAAGAAATTAAGAAAGATATGTGGATTAATGTCTTTCGAAATCTGCAAAGCAATGACGTTGTTTGGCGAGCCCCCGTGGCAAATACAAAGGGAATTCTTTTACAGGTGTGGTGATTACAACTGGA